GACAAATACGGATCGGTTTTCACGTAAGTCTCTGAATTAAGAAGTTTTAAAAATAGTTAAATAAAGCATTTGTTTAAAAACAATCTATAATATACAGTATTATCAAACTTCTAAATTGTGAAGATTACTTGTGTCACAGTACTATATGCAGTAAATAAATTAAATAGATAAATTTACTTTAGTCATTGTTATTATAAACTTAACATTTAACTAAAAAATTATATTGATATGAACTATAAATTCTATAATTAATATTAGCTATGTTTAAGGTTAGAATTAAATTAATTATAAATGATATTTTTTTATAAAGGTTACAATTAGGAGTAAATAATGTGGTGGTTCTTAACGATTGGGAGGCTGTGAGGGATGCCTTCAATAAGGATGCCTTCTTAGGCAAACCACTTCACTCGGCGTTTACTGTGGCCAATGAAGCTAAAAGTAATCATTAATTCAGTAATTCCTTGAATTTATAAACAAGTTAACTATAAATTGCCTAATAAATAGGTTTAGTCGATGAAAATGGAGACGTATGGAGGGATCAGAGGAGGTCTGCCTTACAAGTGCTCCGAGACTTAGGCTTCGGTAAGGGCTCTATGGAGGACAGGATCACCGATGAGATCAGTTATCTCACGAAATGTATCGATGAGATTAATGGTGAGCCCATGGATATACACGAAGTACTGGTGCCGAGTATGTCCAACAATATCTGTCACCTGGTGTTTGGCCACCGATTGGATTACAATGAGCCCCGAAGAAAGATCTTTGACAAACTCTTAGACGAGGCCTCATCCAGGTTCTCCATTATAGGAACGATAGCCATGTCGCCCATTTGGTTCAGCAAAATATTTTTTAAGCTTGGTAATATAATCAATAGGAGTGGTTTCGATGCGATGGTTAGCATATTTGAGTGAGTAGTTTGTCTGAGTTTGAAAATTCTTATATTAATAACATCATTATACTAACTTAGTATATATTATAGCATATAGTATGACTAGACCCAATGGATTGGGGGTCTATTTTTTCCAAACTTCCCACACACTGCATAAACCAACCCATGTTAGCCCTCTCGCATATATCTATTCTAATTTATACAAAACTGATAAGCGATACAATATACAGGGCGACAAATACATGTATAATAATTGTATTTCGTTAATAATTACTAAATTACGAATTAAACTAGCCTAATAGTTCACTAAGTTTAGTTAATTTCTCACAAAATTAACTAAATTGTGAAATAAATAAAACTAATTTTGATCATAATTTAGTCAATTTTATATATTTTAAGTTAATTTAATTCGAATTCAGTTAATTTAACGCACAATTGAGTTAATTTAGTTACCGAAATAGTTAATTAATATTTCAATACTTAATTCTTAACTAAATTTAGATAATTATGAATTAAAATAAATTAATTATTTGTGACATTGACTATTTTGATAACTAAATTAACTTAATTTTGCGTTAAATTAACTAAATTCGAATTAAATTAACTTAAAATGTATTAAATTGACTAAATTATGATCAAAATTAGTTTTATTTATTTCACAATTTAGTTAATTTTGTGATTAATTAACTAAATTTAGTTAACTATTTGGCTAATTTGATGCATAATTTAGCAATTATTAATAAAAAAATTTATTTTTAAAATATTGCATATTGTATCGCTTATCAGTTTTGCATAAATTAGAATAGATATATGCGATAGGCCTAACATGGGTTGGTTTATGCAGAGTGTGGGGAGTTTGGAAAAAATAGACCCCCAATCCATTGGGTCTACAAATGAGTATAACATGGGATCATTGAGTGGCTAAATTAAACATTAATTATTCAGTTTATAACCCGACTGTAACTGACCCGTGTCTGTCACTATAGGGCTTGTAGTATAGGTATGACTGTTTCATGAGCATATATTAATATTTTAAATAAATAAATAATTTAATAATCTAATTATTAGTACTGAAAATCAGCTGCGGTTGAGTGAACAGGGTCTCTAAATATTAATCAATTCAATATTACCCTAACTTACCATTTAATTCACATTCTTTCAAAGCATACAATTGATTGTCATATTTGTGGCGAACTTTGTATACTTTTCCAAAAGCACCCTCACCAATTATACAGATAGTTTCAAATGTTTTCTCAAACATTAACTTATTAGAGTGATCGTATTTATCTAAATTAATAAATTTTAACAATTAACGTAAAATAAGTATACAGTGTATTTGACAAAGGTGTTTCAATAAAATAC